ATGTTGGTGCACCAAATTTCATCAAAATGTGTTAAAAACGGTCACTTTTAAGTTGAACAAAATAAGACGGACGGACGGATAGACAACCTTATAAAAAGGTGGACTATTCCAAGTCCTTGTAAGTCCTGTGTAAGGCATATATCTGCACAGAGCTAATGTACCTACAAGTGATGAAGGGTATGAAAACTAATAAAGTTTGAAGCGCGTTCTCGAGATCTTTCTGATCCACAGTATGTAAGTAAGTATGCAAAAATTGGTCCAATGTGAGTTTCGCTAGACTGGATAGCGTTTATTGTTACGAAAAAGCTTAGTTCGTAACTTAATAATAAATATATTTTGAGAGCTTTTTGTTACTTTTTTTCTTTTGCACTTCTGAGGGATATAGTAAGTTGTCCTTTCTTTTGTGACGCTTAATAGTATTAATGAGAGAAATGAGTGCAAAACACATATACCTCAGATTAGCGCAAAACTCGGATTTCGTTTAATCATCTCCGTCCGCTTGGCTAACTAAGTTGCGTTTTTTCTTATCGACACGCAGTCGTGACCACAAAACCCGAGTTAGAAAGCTGAAAATGGAGGTATAAGTTGATAGTTGGCCAATGAGTTTATCTAAAGATTGGCGTGTTGAACTACATCGATGGGGTTTCTTCTGGTTTCCTCATATCTTTCTGACCGTCACTCAATCGACATCTGATGAGGGATTGGTCATAATAAAAGAAAAAAACAAAAAGTTTGGGAGAGAATGCATTTTTTTTCGCCTTTTTGCTGTAAGGCTTCTTACTGCGAAAGTTCCAACAAGGGCTGTGCATGACCAATTCGCCTTAGAAAGACCGAGTTTGGACTACTGATATGGCGGCGAAGAAACATTCGCAGGCGTTTTATATTCTCTTTAGGAAAAGGAACTTTAGTAGATTATGATTTTGTGTTACTTGATCAGTGGACATAGAAGCGATTCTTGTACCAACATTAGCAGTATGAAGACTTTTAAAGACTTGACAATTGCTTGATTGGAACAATTTGGAAATTGACAAATGTTTGTTCACAAATCAGTATCCATTATGATATGGAAGGTACAGTAAGATTCGTGTAAGAGCGTTTTATTTATGTAACAATTCGCAGAATATATCAGCGGACTACAGCTAACTATCTTTTCTTTTAAAATTGCATAATAATAACAAGCCTCTGATCGGCGGACCTTTAGATGATATCGTAACTAAGTAGCTATCTCGACTTATATTCGCTGACTCACATTCCACGTACCCATATTTGATAAGGCTGCCAATGATAAAGTGTGCTTCGTTGCAATCATTAACGTAAAATGCATACTTCAGTGCACGGTCCGTCTGCTAGTGATTGTGGACAACCATTAATTATGTAAGCAATTATACTATAATGATTATTTGGTAAGCAAATACCCCGAAAAGTATTTGTACTCTTATTGGCCATAGTAATTAAAATCTATACGTTGCATATTTATTTTACAACATATAATAGCCGTAAGTGCGATACGTATATGTGAAATGTGTTTTGCATTGGTACAGGTTCGGTTATTTATTCATCGAAGTATATTCAAAGTTTTTTTTTTTTTGAAGACATTCGATCAAGTGAGTTGAAAATTATTGCACAAATATTATCTGAAAAGTAAAACTTAACGCAATTATAAACATATAGTGAGTGGTATTAAGATGACTATTTGAATTTTAAGATTTTTGAAAAACTTGCATAATTTTCAAAATAATATCTCTATGTGATTCCTTTAAGGTTCTGATTAATTAATTATTACTTTCTATCCGTAATTGCGGAATGATAACAACAGCAATGAAATTCTTTGACCGCAGAAACTATTTTGCATATTGATCTAGAGACGAGGAAACATTTCACAAAGGATATCATTTTTAATCGAGTTTTTTTTTTTTTTTTGTGTAATTTATACAATCAAGGTTAAAATCTTTTATGCTCATAAGATAAGGAAGTTATGCATACATACAAGGTAATTACTTCCAGTTCGTTGCTATTATAATCATTTGGATATTACATATAAGCAAAACATATAAAACATATATAAATAAATCAAGCAATTTTATTATTGCTTAGATACGCATACATACCTACTTATAATTTTCGATACGAATTAAATTAGGAAGTAAATATAATTTAAAAGTACATATAACTTATCCGTATTAAAGAGTTTCCAATGATATTTTCATATATATTATAAAGTCGGAGATAGGTCAGAAAATTTTATTCAATGTTCGAAAGCTGTTTTATTTATCCCACTAGTGATAACGGTAAAGTAAATGTGTTTGAAATAAATTGACTTCCAATTATATTAACCGATTGGGAAATATTTTCTCAACCGATTTGAATACATATCTCCGTTTATCTGGTCGACGTATATCTTTGTGTACTTTTATTCAAGCTACAGCTTGATGTTTTGAGATATTTAATACACTGTCAAGACTAATGCTACTATACATAATGACTTTTTTGGATAAAAACCCTTACGTAAGAAAGAAATGTGCTGCATGCAGATTGACAGATTGAATGCAGAAAATATTAACGGAAAAAAGAAGCCTTTATATGGCAACAAAGTAAAATTTTCTAATTTATGATAAGAATATACGTAGCGATAACCGTACTAAGTTCTCATAAATCTTTTTAGGATAAAAGAAACTAAATTTTGATATGTTATGATGAAAAGTCGAGTAGAATTTGGATTGCACTGTTTCAAGCATCTAATCTAAAGTCTCCCTAACAAAAGATAAATTTTGCTTATCTTGTGTAACGAACAAAACCCTCAATGTTTTAAATGCCATGGTAAAGTTTTTAATGCTTTCGTCAAATTTTGATTCCCTATGTTGATATTTTCGACAAGTTGAATGTTTACATCTGGCATTATAGAGGCGAATAGACAAACGTGGTTCAATTCATTCATAATTTGATACTCACCAACAATTTATACGCTCGATAGCTTCTCCGAAGTTTTCAAGTAGTGTAGCAAGCTGAACATATCCCCATCCTTCAGTGCGGTTGTAATCATAAGCAACAACGCGACAAATGTTTTTGTGTTCACATCGATCTTTACAGCCAAGCGCAGTTTCATTCTTTCTTGAAGTCAGATAAAACAAAATTTCGCTAAATTATTGCAAAAAGCAAATTTTTTTATGTTTTTAGGTTTATGTTGTAATGAAGTTTAATAGTGGAAGAGCAGTTTACCCCTAAGCTGCTTGGCTTCAATGCGCCAAGTCTTTCCGTCTCTTATAATGCCAATAAGTCTCGGAAAGAGACGGTCCCTAAACAATTATGGTTCAGGCGGATTGAACGCCTTGTATTTTCAGCAAGTTAAACGCTAAGTTGTATTGCTTGATAACAACTGAATTTCTTTATTTTATTTGGCACTATTTATACTTATTTTCTACACTAAGTTATGCTTATCTAAACAAAAATTATGATTGTTTAATCGCGGCATCGTATTGCATTATGAAATGCAATACTCACCCTGATGAACTGTGACATAAATTTTATTTTTATTTTACCAAAAGAATTATGCTGAAGTCGCATAATTCTGTCACACTTCAAGTGGAAGTGGCGATCACACTACCATGTCTACCAAATCGTCATAGCATTTTTAAATTTCCTTTTGAAATAAAATGTTCTTAATAACAATCACAACAACAATTTTGATGAAAAAAATGTCCTTTTGTTTTTCTTCTACTCCTATCTTCTTTAAATACAAAAACTCACCATTTTAACTTACTACAGATATCAAGGTGCAAAGGCACCGTTCATATTCTAGAAGTGAAAACTATCAGAAGGTACACAATTTTGCCCTTATTATTACGTCTTGAGTACCTTAAGGAATCCTGGCGATGTATTGGATTTGCAATTTCGCTTTTGAAGCCTGCGTCTACAACCCAAAGTATGTCTGTAGCGTTTTGATCAAAAGATATTTGTGGTGCTAAGGACCATTAGGTAAATCAAATGTAAGGAACGATCAGTGTTCACTCGTTATTCATCAGATATCGTTCGTAGCCAGCGTAATAGGTGAAGGTAGCATTTTAGATCTATGCAATCGCTTCTATCTGTTTGTCAGTTCCTTTGCTGCTTGTAAACTTAGGTCTGCAAAATTAATGATAACAAGCTCAAGCCTAACGCGAGTATATTCAATTTGTTGTCGTTTCTTAGCTATTGTGGAAAATTAAAATTTATTTTGAAATTTTTTCTGCGTGTTTATTATGTTTATTTTGAATTTTATAGGATAAAAACAAATACATCAAAAATACTGTCGCGAAAGTGCGCCAAAACATGCAATGAACTGAATGAGGGAAGTGAAAATAAAAATGTTGTCGTCATGATGAACTGAATATTCTCCTGCGTTTGATTCTTACCTAAGCCACATACTTTATCAAAAATTTTATATAAAATAACTCCCACTTCACAGTGAAATTTCAACCTGCAAGAGATGTAGATTTCACACTTAGGTAGTGCATTATAGAGTTTTTTCCCATTTTTAATGCATTTAAAAAAGTCGTGCAGAAGAATAAAAAGTTTATTTTAGAATTTAGTTTAAATGTAAGTTCTTTCGCTTTCTCTTAAATTTAGGCATTCTACCTATACTAAATAATCTTGAAACAATGTGTGTAACTAAATGTAGGTTAAGAATGTGATTGTAGCAGTTGTTAAGGTTTCTTAATGCAGTTTGAATGCATTTATGAAGCTCATGTCATATAACTATACGAACAACTACAACAATGTAAGCAATAAACTCAAAGTCAATGCCTCCTTAAGTCAAGAAAATCGTTTTAGTCAATAATATGCAACCCCATGTGTAATGAGAATAATATAAAGTGAAAAGAAAGAAACTGGGAGAGAAAAGTTTTTTCGATTAAAACGAGGAATATGTTTTTATAACCAAAAAAAAAAAAAAAAAAACAAAGAAAAAAAACAGGAATGAAAATATATTTTGACTTCAAAAAATAAAAATTCAAAATTAGAAAAAAATGTCATCAAGAAGATGGTTCCATCCTAACATATCCACCGTAGAAGCCGAAAAGTTGCTGTTGAAAAAAGGCTTTAATGGATCATTTTTAGTACACTTGTCAACTTCGAATCCAGACGCTTTTACTCTGTCGGTGCGAAAAGATCAGAAAGTAATTCATATTGGAATACAAAATACTGGTTATTTTTTACACGTCGATAGTGACGAAATATTTGCTACTTTAACTGAACTCGTACAATATTATATGAAAATTGGTGTATTGAAAAGGGAGGATGGTGAAGTTATTAAACTGAAACAACCTTTATTGCGAACTGGACCCTCCACCGTCAATCATTCTGGCAATGAATCTGGAAAATTGCTATTGAATCGTGGAACAAATGGCTCACCTGGGGATTTTAGCTTATCTATACAGGCGAACAATAAAGTAAGGCATGCTGTAATGCATTGCCAGAATGATAAAGACGATTCAGTCAATAGCGGACATTATAAATATAATGGTTTGGTGGAAACCCGCCATGCAGAGGACGATTTATCGCAGCGGTTTAATGCAGCACGCGTTGCAACGGCTAGCATTGATGCCTGCGTTGGGCAAATAGTTAAGGACGGCTTTTGTGAAGAATTAGAATCCTTGTGCGAAGGCAGTAGTGATAAACTGTATTGCCAGGAAGGTTACAAATTAGTGAACCGTAATAAAAATCGCTATGGAGATGTATTACCCCACGACCACACCCGCGTTAAATTGATCGATGTTGATCATAGTATAGCTGGCGCTGATTATATTAATGCTAATTATATAAGCTTACCTTTAGATAGCCTACATGCAAATTCCCATAGTACGAGGGTTAACACGTCTACTACTCACGCTGCCGCACAAATGGGAAAAAGTTGTGCCAATGGTCAGCTATTCGGAAAAGGTTTGACAAAGGCGAAATGTGCTGGGGCCACTGCTAGTTTGCCTGTCAACAACTGTGTAACATGTAGTAAGAAATCAAACAGTGTCTGCAAACATCGACATGGTGAGTCCGTTATAAAAGCCAGTAAAAATAAAAATATATGTGCAGTACGTTCACTACGCAATATTTCAATATCGAACGCCAATAAAGGAAACGCACCTCTTGTAGAAAAAAATTTGTTATGTAAAAGCTTGAGCAGCAATCAACAGCGATTAAAAACCTATATCGCCACTCAAGGTTGCCTGCCTAATACAATCACAGACTTTTGGAATATGATCTGGCAAGAAAATACACGTGTTATAGTAATGTTAACTCGAGAAGTGGAGCGTGGAAGGAGTAAATGTGCAAAATATTGGACCAACAAAGGGCAAAGAAAACAGTTTGGACCAGTCAAGATACATTGCATATCAGAGGATTCCTTTCTGGGGGAGTATATCTTAAGAGAATTTTTAGTTTCGTGGGGCGATCAAACCGAACGACATATTTATCACTATCACTTTCAAGCTTGGCCTGACCACGGCGTACCAACTAATCCCGATTGTGTATTGGATTTCCTTAATTATGTGAATACTAAACAAAATCAATTGATCGAAGCGGGAAAAGAGCCAGGGCCGATATGCGTGCACTGTTCAGCGGGAATTGGTCGCACGGGTACATTAATTGTAATTGATATGATATTAGATCAAATCGATAAATATGGGGTAAATACCGAAATCGATATCAAACGAACGATACAAATGGCTCGTTTACAACGTGCCGGCTTAGTACAAACTGAAGCACAATACAAATTTATACATTACGCTTTACAGCGTTATATACAAAGAATATGTAAGAAGTATTAAGCTGTTGGTGTAGCATTTCATTAGTTCAAGTTCACTTCATGTGCATTTATTCGTCTTATGCAGCTCAATATTTTCTACGTTATCAATGAAGAAGTCATTGTTTCTACAAACGCAATTGTTTTCGAAAAATTGCAAATCGTCTTTTTTTATCGACAACTTTGGAAAAGAAAGAAAATATTTTCAAGAAAGGCAAGTATGTTCTTGCGTATATTTACCAGTAATGTAAACAAACAACTTTAGCAAATTATATTAAAGCTGGTGTGTTTTGCGTTGGGGAATGGTTCTCAGTAAGCAATTAAAATCAAAGTAAATAAAAGCTTGCAAGAAAGAAGAACGAAGATAGCATAAGGAGAGTTCAATGCACTTTTAAAATTTAAAATCGTTACGAGAGCCGCTATTGAAATCAAACCAAGATGATCAAAGTTTTAAGGAAGTTAGGAGAATAAAATATTAACGCCTTATGTAATTGTACTTGGAAAGCGAATGAACGAGCAAAAGTGAACTTTTACCTGCATTTTCCTACCGAAAAGCCTAAAGAGTATTTAGATAACGCGAATTTTGTATACTGACAAGTTCAATGTGAAAGCATTCGGTTACCGCATGAAAATGGTAAGAAATTTTCGGTCACTTTATCATTACATCGCTACCAGAATTCATAAAGTTAATGTTAAAAAGTGAATCACGATGAATATATGATTTCCCTAACATGGGCTAGGTTTGGAAATAACGACAATCGCTCAACAAAGTTCGGCGGTCTCTTAGATAACTCATAACTTATATGTTTATAGCATGTTTCTTCTTTATAGCCAACACTACTTGTGGTGCAAGGGTATGTAAAATTTGTGCGGATGTGTACAACAGTCGGTAGGGCTTGAGATGGACCCTGCTTTTATTATGCCATGAAATCGGAACACGGACAGGTTTTGGCTCAGTTGAAACTCGTTCAATGCAGACCACCCTTTCGTCTACTTCCCATATAACATCTTATCTTAAAAAGTTTTTATATGATGTTTTAAGCGAATTGGTAGGGTACATAGCTATGTGTTTTAATTTGGTTTTATTTATTAACGGGAATAAATAAATATTGTCAAAGTGAAAAGGTAAGTCAAGGTGCTCGACAAATTTTTATGAACAGTTCTCCGCCTGTGTAGTGATCGGAAATTTGGAATAATTACATTGTAGAAAAATAATTTTAGTCATCCGGTGAACACATAGTGACAGATATTCAAAATTCAGCCCATGACGATATTATAGTACTTGACAATATGTAGTTTTCTTACATAACTAATATTTAAATGCAATTAAAACAAAATATTGCAACATATTTTAATGAAAAAATCTTTTAAGCTAGCATTTAAACTGCTTATAGGAGAAAACCTTTAGTCCCTTTTTTCTTAAATTACTATAATTAACACTGTATGCTTTCTCGTGCTTTACAATGATGCTTTTTCTTCTTTTCCCTTCTTCTTTTTCAGATTGTCATATGTTTTTTTTCCTCCTACACTTGTCGTCATAAAAGGATGTGAAACAATTTTGTCAGTTGTTGAAAATGTTATGTCTGCTGCCTGAATGTAATAACAACGCCACATCTAGTCTTTCCTATTCAACAATAAAGCGATCAGGAGAGACAAAATCTGCGGACAATTTGTTTAGATTGCATATAAAACGAATTCTTTGACACTCATCACATGAATAGCGTGAATATTTAATATGAATGTTTTTGGAGTTGTCTACCCAAGAGGAAGATATGAAGAAAACTTTCCTAAAAAATTCTATACTTGGTTAGGTTAAGATCTAATTAATATTTGGCAATAGATTTTCGAAATTTTTGATGTGCTTTATATTTGATCGAAGGCCCATTTTGTTTCAATCTGTTTGCGCAAATTACCTTTATTTACAAGACCACGTTGCAGTACATGTAGCAACTGAAGCTAATATAAAATGCATTTTGTTTAAAAGCTCAAATTTGCTTTGCTATTAATTATACAAGATGGGCAGCCAAGTCGGTTGCTCATTGTGCTGTGCCGCAAAATGGGTAGCAAAGTTGACAAACTTTTCATTAGTAGCGCTGGAAAGTTTTCTTTTACAGAAATACAAACACGAAAAAACGTCACCTTGTTGGTCTTGTAAGGGGTCAGAGGCAATCAAATATGATTTAAATCACACTTAAGTACATAATCCAACTGTAAGGCTTATGGTATTTTTGCTTCGAGTCAAAGCATTGGAAAGAGTATGTGTTGTTATCTCATTCTGGTTGCATTTTTATAGTTATAACAACAGAAGCTCAAAAATAGTTATTGTGTTTGCAACTCATAGGGTTCTTCATGTCAAGTGTATTCAACTTTTTAGTTCCTTGAGCTCTCATGGAAAATAGTGAGTTGCTTTAAACCAGGAAAATGAACATTGCTAGTAATATACACAGTTGATGTTAATGTATTTCAAATTGTTAATGTTTTTATTCGAGGATACGAGAATTGCAATTAAAATACTCATTGCGTTTCTAAAGAAGGAAAATGGTAAAGGATTTATATACAGGTGACCAACAGATTGGGAAAAAAACGCTTTGTCATAGAGTAATTTGTAACGAAGTCCTAGTTTTTACAAGATGGGACAGTTTTTGTCCTACTTATCCTATAACCGGTTCATAGGATAAATCATGCTTCTTCAAAGTACATTTCAGAAAGAACAGGAATTGAGGTAAGAGAGAAAAAATATTTTCAATAATAAAAGGAATACCAACTATAACTAGGTCACGCGTTATATTAATTTACATTTTTTTATTTGAAAGTATCCGAGCATCACTATGGTTCTTGCCGGCAGAGGACTGGCCAACTATACCTTGAACTTGAACACAATTTTACCACTCATTATCTTTGTGACCACATTGTTTTGTATTTTCTTCTATTACTCATGTCATGTGTTTGGCTATGTGCCTTTGCAGTGTTTGTAAGTGCTGAAGTCTGCTTGAACTTTTGGGGAAATTTTCATGTTGCACAAATCTTAGGATTAACATTTCCTCCATGAAAGAGAATGAATATGCCGACGAAGAACTTGTGCAATAAAAGTCATCCCATTGACATTGACCATGCAATGCTCTTGCGTCTTGAGTGGTTCTTGATAATGGCTGAACAAAGAAAACATTCCACATTTCTCTTGAAATAAGAAAATATTCCATAATTCTCTTATTCTTTGAAATACTAAAAGAAACCCATAAGTCGATTAAAAACATTTTCTCAAACGAACTCTAATGCGTACATAAATACATTGCAACGATCAACAATTTTTATTGAACAATCATTTTGTGCCGGAGCTTAATTTACGAAATATTTCACTAAAATGGGCCACGCATAGCATCATTACATGTTCACATTTACGATTATCGCTTGAATTGTTGCCAGTAATTTTAATGATGTTCGAGCCTGGTTGGGTCAATAAGATTCATTCAATTTGACATTTATAATTAAAGATTTATTTATAGTTTGCGCTGGCATAGAAAATGAAAGGTCATCGACAATAGGTTATCTGTACACAGTAGCGATAATAGTAGTAATGGAATTGATGATGTATTCAAGGTATTCAAGGTGCAAAAATACCAAAATAAGCCACAATTATATTGATGAGCTTTATAAAAAGTAACTAATTAATTGACAATTTATCAGGCAAGATAATAAGTAATGACAAGGTGGGGAAAATATGACATGTTAATGTTCCCTAATGAGGACGATGTAACAAAGTAGATAAGACATTTAAACGAAGAAAAAGAAACTATTGAAGCTAAGAAAATTCCTTAAAATAGTTTAAGGAAGAAAAATAATTTACTTTGTAAATGGAGAATCCATTAGACGATGTCTTTTCAAACTTCTTGTATCATTGGATACATATAGGGGGAATGCTGTCAAGGGATTTTCGTGAATGCTCAGTTCGACAAGGTACTTTGCAAAAAGGCATTGACTTACATTTTTAACAAATGAAAGATGCAAACCATCATGAATAGCTTTGTTGCTAATGAACCGGGACAACGAAGGATTTTAGAATGATATTTTCAGTAGCAGAGTTAGTGGCTGTCCTCCACAGTTGTATGCAATCGATCTTCTAGTTTTTAAGTCAAGTTGCTGGCGTTCAGCTTTTATGCAAGAGATATTATTACCAAGCAAAAGTAATGGAGGACAAGCATCTTACGTTAGGAAAATTTAGGAAATTTTTTTTAATGCCTATCACCTAACATCAACCGTAAAGCCTTTAGGAGCATACACGATATTCACTGCTAGACGGAATGAATTGCTTGGTGCAAGAATGGTTGTGTTAGGGAAAGATAAGATAAGTAAGGAAATGCCTATTAATTTTGCACCTATTTTCTGATCCGAATACTGAAAACCTCTATCATTGCAACGTCTTAAAAATGTTAGTCTAAGGGTATTTGTAAAGATATGACTCAAAATAAACCATTGTTGTTGATTACGAATTCTATTTCTATATCTTACCGGAATGCTATCAATCTAACGTTCTAGATAGGGTCTTTGACGCATAGATTTATTAAAGGTGAGAGTGATAGCAAATGAATTAATAATACTTAAGCTAAGAAGTTAAGTCCAAGTTAACCGATTTGTCAAAAATGCTATTTTGATATTTTATTAAGTGTGTTATTCTTACCCTATGTTCGACAAATTATTCAACCAAGCAAATTGTGTTTAACTTGATCGATTTGTCGAACAAAAATTTTCACGTACGAGTTAACCTACCTATCCTATAAAATGGGGATTAAAAGTACTTTGTCATAGCGTGATTAAGCGCAACTAAGCCAATCAAGTTTGTCAACTCGAATAAACTGCTAAGCGAAATCAGTTCAATGTATTTATAGCAAATTCTCCGTTTCTGATCACTTCTTAATTTATGATATCTAGTTACTTGACTTGTATATAATATATGTAATACTCGTTCACTACTCAGAATAAGATGGCGGTGCCTTACAATTAACAAAATGAATTAAATCCTACTTAATCCTAGTATTTGGCAAAGTTCCGGCTCTTGTCAAGTGTGGACAAACCTGCCAATTTCAATTTATCCTGCTTTTGAAGTCCTTTCTGTTTGTAAACCCCTTAAGTTTTTTCCCTTAACACCTTTTTATAGT